TCTTCATAGAATCATATGTCATATAATCTAAAGGTTTAATTGAAACTAGACACATGAACAAATAGAAGAAAAAGAAATAACTAGTCCTCTGAAGAGCCATAGTAGAAATAAAATCTCTAGTAAGCATAAACAGATAGAAATAAATCTATTCTCCCAAAGCAAATAAAAGTATCTCACACTATATTCGCCTTCCTTGAGTGCTTACAGTTCATTAATAGCTACAGTTTCCCACAACATACTTCCCCAAATAGTCCTCAGACAGCAACTTCCGGTATAGAGCTACAGAAATACAGATAAGCAGCATCAGCACATCACCCAGTCTGCCTAGGGTCAGTGTTGGAACTGGGGAATCAGGGCGCGCTCAGCCACATGATGGCTGGGCTCTGGGCTCCTCTCCTAAAAAGCAAATCCGGCAGGTCTAATGAGTAGCAGGCCCAAACTGAAGACACTAATTGAGCAAGCAGAGCCAAAATAAGAAAATTTGTATAAAAGGGAAATTCATTAACATAGGAAATACAACTTATAACGGCTGCATTGTTACAGCTATTAGGATATTGATGAATTACGGCCTGTGTTCAGATATAAGGTCACTGCTTAGAACTCAAGTGATTTGCTGGTACCTAAAATCTGCTGTGGGAGAGCATCACAAAAGACTCCTAGGCCGGGCTCGGTGGCTCAGCCTGTAATCCCGTGCCTTTGGGAGGCTGAGGTGGGTGGATTGCCTGAGCCCGTGGGTTCGAGACCCGCCTGGGCAACTTGGCGAGATCTCATCTCTAAAATAAATTAAAAAAAAAAAATTAGCTGGGCATGGTAGCGTGCGCCTGTAATTCTGGCTACTCGGAAGGCTGAGGCGGAAGGATCACCGGATCCCCAGCAGGTCAAGGCTGCGGTGGCCAGAGCGGCCACTGCACTCCAGTCTGGGCAACAGAGTGAGACTCCAACTCAAAAAAAAAACAAGAAAACAGAAAAAACAAAATTCAAATAAACAGAAAAGGAGGTAACCCAAAACTAGATGGCAAAAATTATAGTCACATATCTCAGTCATCACGTGAAATAAGTGGTCTAAATTCACCAGTTAAAAGACAAGAATTCTTACATGTGATTAAAAAACAAGTCTCCTCAAAGACACAGGATATAATGCTAAAAAGCAAAACAGTGGTAGAAGATAGTCCTGACAAATCCCAACCAAAATTAAGCTAGTATAATAATATAAACAGCAAATAAAATATATTTTAAGGTATTATACAATGGTTAAAAAAAAAGGGAAAAAGCTATCCAAAAATGCAGAATTCTGCACATGTATGAAACTACCAATGTAGTCTCAACTTTTATAAAGCATAAATTTATAGGTATACCAAGAGAAATGATCAAATCAACAATTATAAGGAAAGATTTTAACATACCCCTCTTATTAATTGATAAATTAAAAGGTCAAACAACTAATAGAGATAGATAATTAATGGCTGATCAAGAAAACAGACCTGGAAAGCTGTATCAACAATGAAAGGAGATTATGCTTTTCCGAACTCAAAAAAAAAAAGAAAAAAACCTTACTATATGTTTCTTTTTCTTTTTTTCTTTTTTTTTTTGAGTTGGAGTCTCACTCTATCGCCCAGACTGGAGTGCAGTGGGCGCTCCCGGCCACCGCAGCCTCGACCTGCTGGGCTCCGGCAATCCTTCTGCCTCAGCCTTCCAAGTAGCCGGAATTACAGGCATGCGCTACCACGCCCGGCTGATTTTTTGATTTATTGTAGAAATGAGGTCTCGCCAAATTGCCCAGGCAGGTCTCGAACCCGTGGACTCAGGCAATCCACTCACCTCAGGCTCCCAAAGGCACGGGATTACAGGCTGAGCCACCGAGCCCAGCTTACTATATGTTTCAAAGTAAGTTTTAATAAATACAATAGAATCTCTATTATTTAGACCACATGCTGAACACAATGTAATATAAAACTGAAAATCTGAACAAAAGAAAAATAGCCTTTTCCCACAAAACACATATACATAGACCTACACACAAATGTGTACCTATTTTAGAAATTATATATCACACCTACAAAAAAGAATCCAGGGATCAAAAATGACCTACTATAGGATGAGAAAAATATGAGAAAAGAACTATATAGCTGACTCTTGAGCAACATAACATGGGCTTCAACTACATTGGGTCCACTTATAGCTGGATTTTCTTTTGCCTCCACTACACCTGAGACAGCAAGACCAACCCTTCTTCTTCCTCCTCCTCCTCAGCCAACATGGACAGTGAGAATGGAGATTTTTATGATGATCCCCTTCCACTTAACAGATAGCAAACATATTTCCATTTCCTTATAATTTTCTTACATACATTTTTTTTCATTTAGCTTGCTTTTTTGCAAGAATATGATGTGTAATATATATATATAAAGCCTACAAAATTTGTGTTGACTCTTCATGTTATCAGAAAGGTCTTAGTCAACAGGAGGCCATTAGTAGTTGTAACAGTTTGGGGGCAGTCAAAAAACATATGAAAATTTTTGATTGTGTATGAGGTCGTTACACTTAATCCCTGACTTGTTCAAGAGTAAACTGTATTTGAAATTTGTGCCATCAACAAGAGGTACTTGGAAAATAAGAGCCATGGAAGTATATTTTTTAAGTATTAAACTCAACAACTCAGAAAAAGAATGGTTATCCCAAACAAAAAGAGCAAAAGGGAACAGAATGTTACAAGATAGAAAGACAATAGAAATGATAAACAAAATCAAATTGTTTGAAAAAAAATTAAAATGGCTAATCTATAGCAAGAATAGTTTTTAAAAAGCAGATAACACTAGAAATAAATTTTTTTAAATGCACAAGATGAGAACACTATGAAAATTTTCATGCCAATAAATGTGTCAAATTAGATGAAACAGCTTCCACCAAAAATATGCATTAAAACTGAATGAAAAGCAGAAACTGACCATAAGTATTAAAAAATTAATCAATGATTAAAAAAACAAACAAACTGGGCTCGGTGGCTCAGCCTGTAATCCTGTGCCTTTGGGAGGTTGAGGTGAGTGGATTGCCCGCGGGTTCAAGACACACCTGGGCAGGCGAGACCTCATCTCTACAATAAATCAAAAAATTAGCCAGGCTTGGTAGCGCGCACCTGTAGTTGCAGCTACTTGGAAGGCTGAGGTGAAAGGTTTGCCGGAGCCCAGCCGGTGGAGGCCGCAATGGCCAGAGTGGTCACTGTACTCCAGTCTGGGCGACAGTGAGACTCCAACTCAAAAACAAACAAAAAACAAACATAAACCACCCTCCATTTCCACTCTCCCTTCAAAAAGACCACCAGTCAAGCAGTTTTAAAGGCAAGTTGTACCAGATCTCTAAAGAACAGAAAATCACTAATTTACCCAGGCTTTTCTAGAGAATGATGAGAGAAAAACAACTTTAATGGAATGGTATTTAACTCAGATAACAAAATATGATGAAGACAGTTTGAAACAAGAAAATTAGAAGGAATATATGCAAAAACCTAAATAAAAATAATACAAAATGAATGTCGAGTCCTTATGACCAAGTAAAGATTACATTAGAAATTCAGATAGCTAAAGAGTAGAAAATATTAATGTAAATTACAACATTAACCAGTTAGAAAACCATATTATCCTTTTAGTTGATGTAGACAATACACCTGGTAAAATTCATCACCTATTTATGATTATCCTAAAAATTAGAGGGAAAAAATGTACTTAAGTTGAGAAAGAATATCTCTTTTTTAAAAATCCTAGAGCAATTCTAGAAACTTAAATAAAACATGTAAAAAGATGAGTAAAGTTCTAGATTAATACAAAGATAAAAGGACAATTAGTTACTCATCTTAGTATTCTCAGCCCCTTGCAATATAATACACATTCAAATATATAATAAACTTGTTCAACTAAGTAGACATAGGATGCCTTTTCCATGCTGAAGAGTTTCACTGTTGCTAAAGTATAGCTTTTATTTTTAATAAGAATGCAAGGAATTAGGGAGAAATTGTGTTTAATATTTAACAGATGAGGACACCAAAGGCTAGACTACATATATCTCCCATCCGCCATGAGGTTTTGCTACGTTGCACAAGCTGATCTCAAATTCCTGATTCCTGGGCTCAAGCAATCCTCCCACCTGGGCCTCCCAAGGTGATGGGATTACAGGTGTGAGCCACCGTATCCAGCCTAGGCCACATTTTACACAACCAAGATAGGTCCTATGTATACCAGACACAACAGTATAGTTAGTTCTGAAGTCCGGATCATGAGTTCTAGAATCAAATTGCCAGGACTGGAGTTCTGACTCAACTACTAACTAGCTGTGAAACTTTGGGCAATGTATTTAACCTCTCTAAACCCTATATTACCCATTATAACATTTAACACTGAGAATACCAATAATACCTACCTTCTATAGATTCTTACAAGTATTAAACAAGTGATTCAAAGCACTTCACACAGTTCTTCAAAAAACATTTGCAATTAGTGTATGTGTAATTAACTAATTGAGTTGTGAAAAACAACAAATTCTTCTGATTGACATAAAATTATAAGGTGCCAGACATTTTAAAAGACTCTGTTAGCGTCAGGGCTAATCAATTATATGTTTCACAAATCATTGGTGTTTTTTAATTAAATGAAACTAAATAAATAAGCTAGATTTTTAAGCCATTATCTGTCTCAGGATAAAACATTTGGGGTTAAGTTTACTCTGGAAATGTCATTATTCTGAATGTCAACCTAGTGCTATCATTTCACCTCAAGAAAAAGATCTTATAGTCAGAGGTAATATTCAAAATACTTAATGCCCGTTCAGAACAGGCACCAGCCAGTACACGTGACCAATGCAGACTGACACAACATCATCCTAAGGTCAGAAAATGCAGTTTGTAATGGAAATGATGACACTCTTGGTTGTGTCAGGCCACATCAGGGCAGGCTATCCACTGTTTCCCTTTTACACATCAAGATCACTCTCCACCACTCACTCCGTCTCACCTCCAGGTCACAGCTGTATTCGGTGCCATCTAAGAGAGTCACTTTACACTGGACAGTTTTGGTCTTCTTGGCTTTCTGAGAGGCCTTCTCTGCCTTCAGCTCATTGGTCTGCACTTCCTTGGTCTCCCTTTGTCCTGCTCCTCCCTCTGATTTGTCTTCTGGTATTTCCTTTATCTTCTCCTCTCTCTCCTTACTTACTAATTCAGCAGGCTGTAGGGGGAAAAATGAAGTTCATACTAAAATTAACCAATTTGCTAAGGACAACTTATTAAAAGAAAAATCTTTAGTAAGAAATTGTGATCATTATCATAACCACTATAAACCTAAGATTCTAAAAACCTTGAAAATTCTGCTAAAAAGAGTATTTCCCCTCATCCTCTTCCCACCACCAATTTTCTCATTTTGCCAAGTTGGTCATTTCAGCATTAAATGAGTAAAGATAATTACATCTCGCAATTACAATTTAAATTTCATTTCAAATAATAAAATTTCCAATTAAAATACCATACCATGGCAGAGCCTAGGCTTCATTAGACAGCCAAAATGCACACACACAAATCTACTTAGTAACCAAACTGTTTAAATAAATCAAAGAGGTATAAAAGGGCATTCTATTTAAGAAAAGAGGTGGCAGAACTCTGAGAATATCTGCCTAACCTAACAGAAACAGATGGGAATCTGTATTAATTTGCACATATAGTGGGTTTTTAAAAAAGGAATTACAGGAAAAGGCTATAGTGGAACAATCTAAGACTCACACCAGATATATTAAGCCAAAGCAGTATATCTCAATACAAGAGATCTGCAAATGATCCAAAATAAACAAGCCCTTTTTGTTACATGGTTATACCATCAAGTTTTCACTTCCAGACAATCACTCCCAAATTACCTGTGTCTCAGTTCTGCTCACTGAAGGTTTTTCTTCCTTCGCTTCTAACTTAATCTCCTGTTGTTTCCTCTGAGCCGTTTCTTCAGCATCACCCTTGGCCTGTCTCTCTTCTTCCGGAAGGGGTTCCTCTTTACCTAAGACCTGTTCTTCCACAACAGCTTGGGTAGCTTCTTTTTTATCTCCCCCATCTTTGGCCACTACTAAGGTATATGACCTTTGTTTCTTAAGCCATGGGGGTATAAATCGAGAAATACCCCTGCTATCAGATGATTCCTTCTCTTTCTTCTGGCGGCGTTGACTACTTTGGCTTTCAGCTGCAGAAGATGGCTGGGAACCTTTTTCCTCCTCTGGATCAGATGACTGATTCTGCTGATTTTCTGCTACTTCTTCAGGTTTCTCCTTGGTTGCATCTGCTCCTAACTGGTCAGAGTCCTTCTTCACTTCAGACACAGAGCCTACTTCTGTAGTCATGGTCACAGCTTATGCTGTAAACAAAACAAAATCACGAAATGTCATTTTAGAAACTCCCAAGTTTACTTTGGTGGCAAGGGGCAGGGTAAGGAAGGGTAGAAAGAAAAATAGGAGAGAGATGACAAGGAGAAAGCCTATGTCAAGAGGGAGGTTCAAAAGCACAAGAGAAAATGGAGACTGTTACTCTTAGAATTCTGCATCAGAATCATAGAACCAAAAGCAGCATCACAATAGATTTAATCCAGATTCTATGCAGCGAGAACTTAAAATCACCACAAACTCAAGAAAGAATGATTATTTTTATTGGTTTCAACTAGTTATAAACAATAATTGACCCCAAACTCAAATTTCTTTAAAAAATTAATTTTCCCTATACTTGATATCCTTTATTCTGTAATACGAAAATGTTACCACCAATGTTGGAAAGCACAGAGACACATTTCCCTGCAATTTCACACATTAAATGCTAGGTATCATAAAAACAAATTTTAAATATAGAGCACCTAATAGAAAGAAAGTTAAACCTGGAATAAAAATGTATTATTCTATGTTCCAATAGTAAATACCATAATTCATCATCCACTATCCAAACACAAAAGTTAATCACCTGGGAAAGGTATTTAAACCATAATCAAAACTTCAAATATCCATCCCACTGAACCTCAATCACGTTTTTCTTTGTATACATAAGAAAAAGATCTAAAAGCTCTAATCCAAATCAAATGAAGACATTATGGGGTGAGAAAAAAAAAAAAACCTAATAATCGATCCTATCACAACTAGGCTGAAGCCCAGAATTTAAATTAGATCTGAATTTAAATTAAACAAAACTTAAATTAAATCTGAAAAACATGGCTGTCTAAATTTTGCACAAGTAAAGGGAGACTAATGAAATGTCACAGCACACTGACATGAAGAACAATGGGCATGGCCTGCTGAGAAGTAGATCACACTTGCTCTCTCCTCACCTGCCAATGATAAAGGTGATCAAAGTCCTGGCACGGCAGCCAATGGGTAATGTCCCAGCTGTTTTTTCCAAAAGTGGTACAAATTTAAGAGTCAGGTGTGTTGGTGCATGCCTGTATCCAGCTACTTGGGAGACTGAAGTGAGAGGATCACATGAGCCCAGGAGTTCAAGGCCAGCCTGGGCAACATAGCAAGATGCCATCTCTTTAAAAATTAAAACTAAAAGCGGAACAAATTTAAATTATGTCCAAAAAAAAGTAAAGTATGCTTGTTTTAAAATTCTATTGTGATATAATTCACATACAATGAAATCCACCCTTCTAAGAGCACAGTTAGTGGCTTTGAGTATATTCACAAAGTTATGCAACCATTACCACTAATTCTTCAAAAAGAAATTTTGTACCCATTAGTAGTCACTCTCCATTTCTTCCTCTACCTAGCACCTGGCAACCAATAATCGTTCAGTCTCTAATTCTTCAAAAAGAAATTTTGTACCCATTAGTAGTCACTCTCCATTTCTTCCTCTACCTAGCACCTGGCAACCAATAATCGTTCAGTCTGTATGGATTTGCCTATTCTGGACATTTCAAATAAATGGAATCACACAATATATGGCATTTTCACTTAGCATGCTTTCAAGACTCATCCATGTTGTAACATATATCAGTACTATATTTGTTCCTTAAATACTATTCATATCCTCTGCAAATCACATATCTGATGTGGGTCTAGTATCCAAAATATATAAAGAACTCTTACAACTCAACAATAATGAAACATAAAACCCAATTTAAAAACGGGCAAAGGATCTGATAGGCATTTCTCTGGAGAAGATACAGAAATGATCAATACACATATAAAGAGATGCTCTATATCATTAGTCATTAGGGAAATGCACACCAAGACCACTATGAGATACCCCTTCACACTTGCTAGTATGGCTATAATCAAAAAGACATTAACAAGTTTCCATGAGGAAGTTGAAAATTTGGAATTCTCAACGTTGCTGGTAAGAACATAAAATGATGCAGCCACTTTGGAAAACAGTTTGGCAGTTCCTCAAAAAGCTAAACATAAATCACAATATGACCCAACAATTCCAATTGCAGGTATATACCCAAGAGAAATGAAAACATCCATTCGCACAAAAATGTATTCATGAATGTTCAAAACAAGATTATTCACAATAGCAAAAAAATGGAACCAACCCAAATGTCCATCAACTGATGAATGGATTAAATGTTATAATGTCCTTATAAAAGAATATCATTCAGTTATAGAAAGGAATGAAGTACTGATGCTACCATATGGACAAACCTAGAAATATTATGCTAAGTGGGGGAAAAAAGCCAGCCACATGTTATATGATTCAAATTATATGAAATTTCCAGAATCGAGAAAGTCATACTTCCAAGTAGGTTACTGGTTGCCAGGGGCAGAGGGGAGGGGAGTCAGAAGAGTGACTAGTAAGGGGGACACAGTTTCTTTCTGAAGTGATAAACATGTTCTAGAATATGGTGATAGTTTTACAACTTTGTGAATACAGTATACTCAAACCCACTGAATATGTACTTGAAAAGGGTAAATTCTGTGATATGTGGATTATATCTCAACATAAAAATAATTTTTAAAATGTTATTCACATCTAATGTGGAAAAAAACAGAACTCAAGTCAATTAGCTGATACTTTTTTTTTTTGAGTTGGAGTCTCCCTCTGTCGCCCAGACTGGAGTGCAGTGGCCGCTCCCGGCCACCGCAGCCTTGACCCGCTGGGCTCCGGCGATCCTTCCGCCTCAGCCTTCCGAGTAGCCGGAATTACAGGCATGCGCTACCACGCCTGGCTGATTTTTTGATTTATTGTAGAGATGAGGTCTCGCCAAGTTGCCCAGGCGGGTCTCGAACCCGCCGGCTCAAGCAATCCACTCACCTCAGCCTCCCAAAGGCGCGGGATTACAGGCTGAGCCAACGAGCCCAGCTCATCAGCTGATACTAAATGGCTCCTACAATGTGTCAAGCAGTGGGCACACGCATAAAGACTGCCTTCCGGAGCTAACAGAGTAAGGAATAAGATCAGCATAGATAAGTCAAGAGCATGGTGATTAAAAAGCTCAGGACAGATAATTAACCCAGGCGAGAAGGTCATCAGGCAAGCCCTTCTGAAAAAGTTAACATTTGAGTTGCTTTTAAAACAATGGGTGCTCATTACTCAGGCAAAGTTGTCAGGGTGGGAGGCATGTGTCAGGCGTAGGAAGGTGTATGGAAACAAGAGAATATTCCTCATAAAAGAAACCACAGGTACAGAACAATAATCCACTGTACAAGAGAAGTGGAGGGTTATGAGTAGAGACAGAAGGGAGGGGAAAGGCGAATTGGTAATAACGAAGTAAGAAAATAAGGCAGAAGCCACCACATAAAAGATTTTTGTGTTATTTTAAAGGCACTGAGAAAGTTATTTTTAAAACAATGAGAAGTCATACAAGTACTTTAAGTAGAGGAGTAATGTATTCAGATTCCCATTTCAGATAGTACAATCTGGCTATAAAGTATGAAATAAGACTGAAACAGAAATACATTGAGGTGACTGTTGCCAGAATCCAGACGTGAGAAGATGATGGTCTGTATTGTGGCAAAAGCAGTAGGATAAATGACAAGATGTGAATCTAATGGCGAAGAGCCAGAGTAGACAAAACTTGGTGTTTGGACTGAACATTCAAAGTCAAAAGTTCCAAGTCATGGGAGACTAGGGTAATAGTAGAACCATCCATGGAAATGGGAAACACTAGTAAAAGTGGGCCTGGTGAGGCATGTAACTCAATGTTGAATTCACTCCAACTGAGAAATGGGTAAAGACATCCCGTTGGCTGCAAGACACACAGGTTTTGAATGGAGGCTACATGTTCACTAGAGGTACAGGTTGGAAGTTGTCGTCATATGGGTGATAGCTAAAAGCACGGATGACACTGACATCATCTAGAGAAAAACTGTCTATCATCATCAACATGTAAGGGTCAGGGGGAGGAAACGACATGAAGGCGAGAAGAAATGTTAAATGACAGATCCCTACCTCACATCACACACAAAATTTAACTCAAGATGGATCAAAGATTTAAATGTAAGACCTGAAACTGTAAAAATTCCCGAAGAAAACCTAGGAAAACTCTTCTGGGCATCAGCCTAGGCAAAGAATTTATGACAAAGACCCCAAAAGCAATGATAACAAAAACAAAAATAAACAAATAAGACTTAATTAAACTAAAAAGCTCCTGCTCAGTGACCCTTCCGCCTCAGCCTTCCAAGTAGCTGGAACTACAGGCGTGCGCTACCACACCCGGCTAGTTTTTTTATTTATTGTAGAGATGAGGTCTCACCAAGTTGCCCAGGCGGGTCTTGAACCCACGGGCTCAGGCAATTCACTCACCTCAGCCTCCCAAAGGCACGGGATTACAGGTTGAGCACCGAGCCCGGCTCTATACCCTGATTTTAAAAGAAGAAGAAGAAAAAAGAAATGTAGAATGAGACAGGGACATCAGGGCAGTAATGTCCTTGACAGCAATGACAAGAGGAAATAGTTAAATATCCCCTTGAAATGAGAGAACAGTTAACTATTATATCTACGTGTCCAACATTACTTCTCATTTTTAAGCATTTGAAATTCAAAGTCATGTCTTCCAACAAGACACAAGGGCACTTAAACTGGCCACATATTGCACAGAAAACCTTTTTTCCTTCTCTAACATACTATTTCCCAATGTACCATTTAACTGAAGAATATTATTTGCATTAATCATGAAATGACCAAAATTGACTTCTAGCATACACTCTAATTGCATTTTGAGAACAGAATAAATGTCCTGGTAAAATTAAAATCAAAATGTCTTACACTTGTCTAAGCTAACCAAGATAAATTGGTCTCTCTCTAATTACTTTGGCTATGAGAAATAGTCTGGGATCAATCAACTAAAGCTGATATTTTAGAAGCAACAAAACATAAAACTCAGGTTTCTACTATTATGTTAAAAGCATTAATAGATGTTTATATTTTAATCAT